CCCTTTGCTAAAATTGTTGAACGAACCTTGTTGCCTTTGTCTCTGAGAACCCACCTTGACTGTATGATGTTCTTCTTTCGTTCTGGGGTCAAAGTGTTGATGTCGACTTCCATGTATACCTGTTGTTTCTTCATGCAATCGATCTCATTCTTCATTCCTTCAATGGTTTTCTGTTTGTCAAATCCTTCTGTGTTGTTGACCATAGGTTCCAAAAGGATCTTCTCTGTTTGTTCTTCTGTGACGTCGATTTCAACCCCTTTCTTTGTTTGAACTGTCACCTTTGTGATTCTTAGTTTGCTTGTTGGTGGCTCTTGTGCTGTGTCAGGCCTTGCTGGACCTGTTGCTGCTTCTGCTGTTCGATGTTGCTTTGGCAGACTGCCTTCTGCCACTTCGTCTGAAACTGTTCGTTTTGGTGATGGAAGTGATGGTCTGGTGTGACAGCTTGTTGGTGCTGTTGCCATTGGTGGGTCAGCAATGGCACATCGTGTTGATGTACCTGCCGGTGCTGTTGGTTGCTGTGCTTGAAGTTGTGGCTGTTGTGTTGTGTCTGCTCCAAAAGTCTGTGTGTCTGTCTCTGCCGCTGCTGGTCTCCTCAGTGGTTTGTAGACCAGTGGTGGTCTTGAGACGTATGGTCCACCAGTTGTGTATGGAAGTGTTGGTGATCTGTTGATCACGTCCATCAGTTGCTTGTTGTACTTTTCTGGTGCTGGAAGCCTTCTGATTGTCCGTGCTCGAACAACCTTGTTGGTAATTCCAATGAGGTTCTCATTGGATGTTGTGTCTTTGCCAAGCCATATGCCTGGCATGAAGCGCTGTTCCATCTTTGGAATGACTGTTGAGTTTGGCAACATGTAAAGAACTGTTTCACCAAACTCACAGAGTGGTGTTTTGTGTTCTTTATGCCATCTCCTGAAGAAGCTTGTGTTGCCATCTGAGTGTATGGCATACCTGTTGAGCAGGTAAGCTGTGTGTCTCACCATCCATGCTACGATGGGATGTTTGCTTGTAAGTCTGATGTCGTAGTTGTTCTGCAGTTGGGACTTCAGTGTTCTGACTTGTCCAATGAGTGTTCTGTGAAAGCGTTCGACGCTGCCTTGTGCTTGTGATGTGTATGTTGGTGCTTGTTGAACTGTGATGTTTCCTCCCATCTTAGCTGCTGTTGCTCTGAGAAGTGCTATGAGGTGATCTTCCTGATCTGACTGTAGAATTGTGCTGTTGAGTACAGCTTGTACTCTGCCACATTCCATGAGGAATGTTTGTATGCATTGGACGTGATATTGACAGTCTGCTGTCTTGTTGTTGACAAGAACTGCCATGCTCATGCCTGTTTCCACGTCAATGCCTGTGAGGATTGGTGTTGTTTCCTTTTCTCCAAGTGTTTTGAAGAAACAGAAGTCAAATTGTACCACTGGTTGTTTGCTGTGTTGTCGTGGGTGGTTGTCTGCACGTCCTTTGTTTTGAACACATGTTGGACACCAACTCATGCAGGGAAGGTGTGTGAGTTCATATTCAGCACTCTCTTGTGCTGTTGGCTGCTCTGGTGCTTTGATGCCTTTTGCTGTTCTGGCATCGAGATGTTCTTCCTCATCGATGTTGTAGTACTCCTCTTTGAACGCCGTGCTCTCCTCAAAGTTTGTTGAGCCTGTCCATGTAAAGTTCATTGTTGCTGAGGTCTTTGTTGTCCAGTCATCATCAATCCTGTATCCTCTGGCTCCTGATGTTGGCTTAACTATTGTTTGTCTTTGTGGCAATAGCTTTGTGACATCTGGACCATCCATTGCTTGTTGTGGGATGTAAAGCTGAGTCCGTTGTTGTACATGGACTCTCTTCCAGGACTGTCCTTCTTTGATCCAGTAGTCTGCTGTTGCTGGTGTGTCCTTTGGTCCTGGAACTGCTGTTCCTGGATATGCTTGCTGCTTCATTGGCAGCTGTTGTTGTGGTACCAGAGGTTGTTCCACTGTCTTCTTCTCTCGGTGTGGAACTGCTGATCCTGTAGGCTGCTGCGCTTGTTGCTGTTGCTGTGTCGTTGCCTTGGCTGTTGATGCCTTTGGTGTTGCTGATGCTGGCGCTGAAGCTGCTGTTGATGCTTTGGGCAACGGTGGTGCTGGAGGCTTTGTTGTCTCTTTGACTTTGAACCATGTTTCTCCTGACCATGCTGGTCCTGGAAGTCTTCTGTTCTGTCGTTGTTGTGGAAGGTCTTTGTATTTGTCCTCAAAGTCCTCAAGTGTTCCATCTGGCTTGTATGCTATTGTTCTTCTGTAGTTGTCCAGCTGTTCTTCTGGAACTGGACATTGTGCATCTGGTGTGAAGAGGGCCTTCCTTGTTCTCTTGTGTACCCTCACCAGATATCCTGTGCTGTTGTATATCCAAATGTCGTTGTTGTGTGTGACCCATTCAGGTCCTGTTGGTGTAAGTGTCACTGGGGACACTGTTGCTCGAATGCCATGTGACGTCTCACATATGTCGAGCTTCATGTTGCTTGGCATTGGGCTGATGTTGACTGTAAGAAAATACGGTCCTTGTTGTTGCTTCAGTGTTGCTTCAAAGCCGTTGGTGTTGGTGATTGTTGGGTGATCGCTAAGTTGGATGTTGAAACCCTGTGATGCCAGTCTTGTTACTGACAAAATGGGTTGTGACACGTCACACACACATAAAAGGGTATGACGATCGGTTGTTGCTTGCTGTTCTTCATGTACACCCGTTTGTAGCCATAGACTGTGATGTCTTCCTCTGTTGCTGTTGAGAGTCTTGGGCCTTGTTCTGGGTGAAGTTCATATGTTGTGTATGTTGGAGCAAACCCTGGGTGGGCAAACATGTGTTGCTGCTCCACTGTCAATCATCAAATCTTCTGTGTTTTTTTTGGTTGCTCAGTTGCTGGCTGCTGCTTGTTGGACTGCTGAATTGAAACGGCTGCTACGTGGAGTTGTGGAACTTGCTGTTCCTGCGCGCTTGTTGGTGGAAGTGCCAGTTGTTGCTGTGGCAGTGCGCTGACCTGTGTTTGATCAGCATTCCACCATTGGCCGTCATAGTATTGTTGTTGTTGTTGTTGATACCATTGGGTTGTTGCATCATCTTGCCAATGGCCAGTGTATGTGTTGGTTGTAACCTCGTTGAGGTTGTGTACTGCCACACGGCAGTCTCTTGCTATGTGACCTGATTGGCCACGTCTGTAGCATCCTTGTGTTGGGACTCCTTTTCCTTTTCCTGTTGGCTTGCCTTTGCCTATGTATCCTCCTTTGTTGAGCGCTCCTTTGAACGGCATTCCTTGCCAACCTTCCCTTTACCTTTGTCGCATCCGTAGCCATATCCTTTGCCTTTGTTGCTCTTACTCTTTCCTTTCCCTTTGTTGGGCTTCTTTCCTTTTCCTTTGTTGTACTTTCCCTTGTATCCTTTGTTGACAGCTCCAATGTCCATAGGTGCCGGTCCTCCGTGGGCGTGTGTTGAGACGCTGGATGTCCCAGGTTGCTGGTGTAGCCTGCTGAGGGCTGTGGTGGCTCTGTAATATTCCATGATTGTTTCACGTACCTCTACGTATGTTGGTGTTGCTCCTGCATTCAGGTGCAGGTGTTGTTGCAGTGGGCCTGATGTCTCGATCATCAGGACTGCAATTTTGGTTTGGTCTGGTAGTGTTGTGTTGTTGTCTCTCTCATACCTTGAGAGCTCGAATTCCCAGTTGGAGAATGACTCCTCGAAGCTGTTGCTGTCAAATGTTGGCTTGAGCAGCTTTGTTAGGTACCCTATACTTCTTGTTCCTAATGGTATGGCAAACCTGTTGCTGAGCTGTCTGTAGGTCTCAAGTCCCATCTCATGTTGTTACTGTCTGCACACTGTTGCTGCAGCTGCTGTTGTTACGTTCACAAGTATGTACTTCAGGTTGTTTTCTAGTTGTACCCATCTGTCTGCTTCCTCTGTGTTCTGTGCTGCTCCTCTCAAGTCTGCTTCTGTAAGTCGTTGTGTGGATGCTGCTGCACGTCGTAGGATGTTGGGGTAGAATGGGTCCATGAGGCCCATGTATGCTGTGAATTTGTATTTCCACTCCTCAAATGTGGAATAGTTGCCATCATATGTTGGGGGCTTGAATTTGAGTCGGTGTGTTGCTGCCACCGCTTCTGTCTGATCCTCTAGTGGTGCTGTTGGTGATGCCGCCATTGTTGCTTTGTGAAGTTTCGTTGAAGCTCCTCCAATGTCTTGGGATCAAGGCTTCTCCCTGTTGTCAAAGTGTTGTTGTTCAGCTGCTGCTTCCTTTGTTGTCTGGTGTGTTGTTTGTTGGGTGTTGTGCGCAGTAATTGTTGAGAGTCCCCCAGTGTTCTGGGATCAAGCCCTCTGCCTGTTGTTTACTGCTGTTGCTTGGAGATGCCCCTGGTAAGGCAGAGCTCCGCTACCATGTAAAAGTGCGAGATGTTTCAAGCACTGTTGTCGAGCTGCAGCTGTTGGCGCCTTTTGCTGTTGCACGCACTCAGTCTGTATGTTGTCAACTAGAGTTGACTCAAGGCCTTGAACCACAGGCCAGTGTGGGCATGACATGTTGAATATGTACATTGACACTGTAAAATCACAAGGTAGCTCAGCTGAGTTGTTGTGACAAAATGTTGTACTTGCTGAGCAGGTGTTGGATCCTTTTTGTCTCTGCGGTGGCTGTGCACACGTCTGTATTGTTGTACCTATACTAGACAGATGGCTCAAGGCCTGCGGGGAACAGAAACATGTTGTGCAGGAGGACGTGACAATTTGACACGGCCCCTCGAATGTTGGATATCTCATCCAACAGTCGTCATCATAAATTGTTGTGCCCAAACGTTACTAGATGGCTATAATGTTGGGAAACGCTATACACTTTACACTCATGCAGCATCGAAAGAAGGTGTTGTCTATTGCTAGTGTACACCTATCTAGCTGAACTGCAAATTGTTTACCAACTGTGTTGGCTTTTGCCTCAGATCCATCTCACTGTTGCGCTCTTCTAGTGTTGAGGTAGATCTTGGCATCAGCATCATTATCGGTCACTTGGTGTGGGCCACCTCATCTCCTGCGCCATCCGGCATCTCCGCATCGTCATTGCCACTTGTTGGATCCGCACGCCATTTGTTGATCTCATCCATGTACTCCTGGACATCCATAGTGTCCGCCCAGGCAATGACGGCGTCTGTGCCGCGCACCCGGTCGGCTGTCTTGATGCCGTTGTAGTTAATCCAGGAGACAGGGTTCGGCCCTTTGATGTTGCATCAGAAGACCGTCGATCTGGCTGCTCACCGCTTCGTCCATACTATCCAGACACGGCAACCCGCTGTACCACAAGGCCTGCAGTGCTGCTGGCCACTGAACATGGCTGGTGTCTTTGATCTCTGCCAAGTTGATGGGTACGTTGTAGTCCCATGCCCATGTCTTTGACCGAGAGTAGTAAGTGCCAATGCGGTGGTTGATGCTCAGCTGGTCACTGCTGAAAACAATCCACGACTGTTGGCTCTCATACTCATATTTGGTCATGTTGTACACATGCCCTGCGTCGAGCTGAAACTGCGGAAAGCAGTAGCCCCGTGAGAAACTTGTCAAAGTTCCTGAGGAAAGACGCTTAGCATGTTGGATTTGCTCCGGCTCCCAACTGAGGAGAATCAGCTCCTTCTTGTTGAAAGTTCCAAGGTGCTGTTCCGTTGAATGGTAATACCAGGTGCACATGGCTCCCGCCGGGGTTGTGGCGAGAACAAGTTTGTCCCACCTTGGAAGACGCTGTCTTCCGTGAAGAGACTGCACCCTTACATCCGATGTTGTCGGATCACGAAGGTTGTCCAGCTCTTCCCAGGTGATGGTCAGCCAAAGCGCTAGTTTGTTGTTGGAACGCAGCTGCTGTTGATGGCTCTCAGGGTCATTCTTCTCAACTGAAAGATCCTCCATTCCTTTGCGCATGGCCAAGACAGTTGTTGTCAGACCGAGCGCATGGAGAGGTGCTGTGATCTCCTGTGCTGAGATCTTCACCTCAGAGTTGGGAAACTTTGTGAGAAGTCCCGCCATAGTTGGTTCTGACGGTGCCACCAACACTTGTTGGCTGTGATGGTTGAGGCCAAAAAAAGACTGCGGAGAAAAACGAAATGAAACGTCATGTTGCCAACTATCTGTTGGCAAATGCCGGACTTGAAACTGACATGTTGAGTAAGACAACATGTTGACAAATTCAGGGTTCACCATGCATGTAGATCTCCGTGTTGAGAATCAAAAAATTCTCGTTGAAATACAGGTTGAAACGAAACACGAGATGTGGTCAAACTTCGCTGAACCATGGCTGTATCGCCCGTGTGCGTTTGTGTGTGCAATGTTTGCTCACATCATTGCTGTACACGCGCACGCACGGTTACATAGACTTGCTTGTTACAAGCTGCTGGTGAAACTGTTGTAGCTGTTGCTGCATCCACTCAGTAGTGGATGTTTTGCTGGGTGTTGAGCCCAGCTGCCTGCAGGTGTCTGTGGAGTGTTTCTGTTGATATGTAATTGGTGAAGATGTCTGCTGGATTCTCGTTGGTGTGAATCTTGTTAAGTCTCACGATGTCGTGTGAGATCAGTTGTTGTATGAAGAGGTGTTTCAGGTCGATGTGTTTTGCTTTCCTTGACGATCCTATCCTTGTTGCCATGCTCTTGCCACTTGACGAATCTGTGTGGATTTTGATGTTGACCTTCTGGACGTTGAGAAGCTCCATGAGGAGATTGCGCAGGTGTAGTGCTTCTGTTGCTCCTGTGTTGATTGCGTACAGCTCTGCTTCTGCACTTGAGAGTGCGATTGTTGCCTGTGTTCGGCTGCCATAGTTTATTGTTGCTCCAAGTAGTGTGATGATGAAGCCTGTTGTAGATCTTCTTGTTTCTGGACAGCCTGCCCAGTCGCTGTCCACGTAGATGTTGAGGTCTGGAATCTGTGTTGGAGGTATCTTTGCTGTTGGTCTGATGACCTGTCTGTAGTGTTGTGTTCCTTTGAGATACCTGAGTAGATGCTTCAGTTTCTGTTGGTCTGCCGTCGTTGGTGCTTGTAATGCTCTGGCCAGCTCCTTTGTTGCGTAGCTGATGTCTGGACGAGTGTAGGTCATCCACTGCAGCTTGCCTACTGTTCTTCTGTAGGCTGCATGTTCTTCTTGTGAGAGGGGTTGTTCGTGATCAGCTGTAGGCGTCTTCAGTGCTGTTGTTCCTGGCGCTGGTGCTGGGTTGCAGTTCAGCATGTTGTTCTCCTCCAAGATGTTCACCACGTAGTCCTGTGATAGTGAAATGTCGTAGCTATCACCGTTGTTGGTGATGTTGCGCCCAGGGAAAGAAACTGTTTTCCCCGGTTCGAATGTACCTGTTGGACGTAGAAGGAGATGTTGCTGAATGGCTGTGAAGAGCTTGTCCACCACCTGTTGTTCTCCTAGAAAGAGAAGGTCGTCGACGTAGACGAGGATGTAGCAATCTCTTGTTGGTGTCATGAAGATGTTGGGCTCTGCTTTGCTGCGTTGAAGTCCCAGGTGTTGTAGGACTTCTGCTAGGTGGTTTTGCCAGGCTTTTGGACTGCTCCTCAGTCCATAGATTGCTTTGAGGAGTTTGCAGACGATGTTGTCCTCTGGTCTGTAGAACTCCTTTGGTGGATGCATGTGCAAGTCTGTTGTTGCTGCTGCGGCATGTACAATGTAGAAAAGCTGTTGAGATGTCTCCTGTTCTGGCTATCCAGCCTCTGTTGAGGCAGATGGTGAGAAGTGTTCTCAGGACGCAGAAGATGGGTGTTGAGGCATAGATGTCGTCAAGGTCGTTGACTGACTCTGTGTAGCCCTTTGCTACAATTCTTGCACGAACGTTGTTGCCTTTGTCTCTGAGAACCCACCTTGACTGTATGATGTTCTTCTTTTGTTCTGGGGTCAGAGTGGTGATGTCGACTTCCATGTATACCTGTTGTTTCTTCATGCAATCGATCTCATTCTTCATTCCTTCAATGGCTTTCTGTTTGTCAAATCCTTCTGTGTTGTTGACCATAGGTTCCAAAAGGATCTTCTCTGTTTGTTCTTCTGTGACGTCGATTTCAACCCCTTTCTTTGTTTGAATTGTCACCTTTGTGATTCTTAGTTTGCTTGTTGGTGGCTCTTGTGCTGTGTCAGGCCTTGCTGGACCTGTTGCTGCTTCTGCTGTTCGATGTTGCTTTGGCAGACTGCCTTCTGCCACTTCGTCTGAAACTGTTCGTTTTGGTGATGGAAGTGATGGTCTGGTGTGACAGCTTGTTGGTGCTGTTGCCATTGGTGAGTCAGCAATGGCACATCGTGGAGATGCACCTGTTGATGCTGTTGGTTGTTGTGCTTGTAGTTGAGGCTGTTGTGCTGTGTCTGATCCGAAGGTCTGTGTGTCTGTCTCTGCCGCTGCTGGTCTCCTCAGTGGTTTGTAGACCAGTGGTGGTCTTGAGACGTATGGTCCACCAGTTGTGTATGGAAGTGTTGGTGATCTGTTGATCACGTCCATCAGTTACTTGTTGTACTTTTCTGGTGCTGGAAGCCTTCTGATTGTCCGTGCTCGAACAACCTTGTTGGTAATTCCAATGAGGTTCTCATTGGATGTTGTGTCCTTGCCAAGCCATATGCCTGGCATGAAACGCTGTTCCATCTTTGGAATGACTGTTGAGTTTGGCAACATGTAAAGAACTGTTTCACCAAACTCACAGAGTGGTGTTTTGTGTTCTTTGTGCCATCTTCTGAAGAAGCTTGTGTTGCCATCTGAGTGTATGGCATACCTGTTGAGCAGGTATGCTGTGTGTCTCACCATCCATGCTACGATGGGATTTTTGCTTGTGAGCCTGATGTCGTAGTTGTTTTGTAGTTGGGACTTCAGTGTTCCGATTTGTCCCATCAGTGTTCTGTGAAAACGTTCGACGCTGCCTTGTGCTTGCGATGTGTATGTTGGTGCTTGTCGAACTGTAATGTCTCCTCCCATCTTGGCTGCTGTTGTTCTGAGCAGTGCTATGAGGTGATCCTCCTGGTCTGATTGTAGGATTGTGCTGTTGAGTACAGCTTGTACTCTGCCACATTCCATGAGGAATGTTTGTATGCATTGGACGTGATATTGACAGTCTGCTGTCTTGTTGTTGACAAGAACTGCCATGCTCATGCCTGTTTCCACGTCAATGCCTGTGAGGATTGGTGTTGTTTCCTTTTCTCCAAGTGTTTTGAAGAAACAGAAGTCAAATTGTACCACTGGTTGTTTGCTGTGTTGTCGTGGGTGGTTGTCTGCTCGTCCTTTGTTTTGAACACATGTTGGACACCAACTCCTGTAGGGGAGGTGTGTGAGTTCATGTTCAGCACGCTCTTGTGCTGTTGGCTGCTCTGGTGCTTTGATGCCTTTTGCTGTTCTGGCATCGAGATGTTCTTCCTCATCGATGTTGTAGTACTCCTCTTAGAACGCCGTGCTCTCCTCAAAGTTTGTTGAGCCCGTCCATGTGAAATTCATTGTTGCTGAGGTCTTTGTTGTCCAGTCATCATCAATCGTGTATCCTCTGGCTCCTGATGTTGGCTTAACTATGGTTTGTCTTTGTGGCAATAGCTTTGTGACATCTGGACCAGCCATTGTTTGTTGTGGGATGTAAAGCTGAGTCCGTCGTTGTACATGGACTCTCTTCCAGTACTGTCCTTCTTTGATCCAGTAGTCTGCTGTTGCTGGTGTGTCCTTTGGTCCTGGAACTGCTGTTCCTGGATATGCTTGTTGCTTCATTGGCAGCTGTTGTTGTGGCACCAGAGGTTGTTCCACTGTCTTCTTCTCTCTGTGTCGAACTGCTGATCCTGTAGGCTGCTGCGCTTGTTGCTGCTGTTGCTGTGTCGTTGCCTTGGCTGTTGATGCCTTTGGTGTTGCTGATGCTGGCGCTGAAGCTGCTGTTGATGCCTTGGGCAACGGTGGTGCTGGGGGCTGTGTTGTCTCTTTGACTTTGAACCATGTTTCTCCTGACCATGCTGGTCCTGGAAGTCTTCTGTTCTGTCGTTGTTGTGGAAGGTCTTTGTATTTGTCCTCAAAGTCCTCAAGTGTTCCATCTGGCTTGTATGCTATTGTTCTTCTGTAGTTGTCCAGCTGTTCTTCTGGAACTGGACATTGTGCATCTGGTGTGAAGAGGGCCTTCCTTGTTCTCTTGTGTACCCTCACCAGATATCCTGTGCTGTTGTATATCCAAATGTCGTTGTTGTGTGTGACCCATTCAGGTCCTGTTGGTGTAAGTGTCACTGGGGACACTGTTGCTCGAATGCCATGTGACGTCTCACATATGTCGAGCTTCATGTTGCTTGGCATTGGGCTGATGTTGACTGTAAGAAAATACAGTCCTTGTTGTTGCTTCAGTGTTCCTTCAAAGCCGTTGGTGTTGGTGATTGTTGGGTGATCGCTAAGCTGGATGTTGAAGCCTTGTGATGCCAGTCTTGTTACTGACAAAATGGGTTGTGACATGTCACACACATAAAAGGGTATGACGATTGGTTGTTGCTTGCTGTTCTTCATGTACACCCATTTGTAGCCGTAGACCTTGATGTCTTCTTCTGTTGCTGTGGTAAGCCTTGGGCCTTGCTCAGGGTGTAGATCGTATGTTGTGTATGTTGGAGCAAACCATGGTGGACAAACGTGTGTTGCTGCTCCACTGTCAATCATCAAATCTTCTGTGTTGTTTCTGGTTGCTCAGTTGCTGGCTGCTGCTTGTTGGACTGCTGAATCGAAACGGCTGCTACGTGGAGTTGTGGAACTTGCTGTTCCTGCGCGCTTGTTGGTGGAAGTGCCAGTTGTTGCTGTGGCAGTGCGCTGACCTGTGTTTGATCAGCATTCCACCATTGGCCGTCATAGTATTGTTGTTGTTGATACCATTGGGTTGTTGCATCATCTTGCCAATGGCCAGTGTATGTGTTGGTTGTAACCTCGTTGAGGTTGTGTACTGCCACACGGCAGTCTCTTGCTATGTGACCTGATTGGCCACGTCTGTAGCATCCTTGTGTTGGGACTCCTTTTCCTTTTCCTGTTGGCTTGCCTTTGCCTATGTATCCTCC